TAAATGAGAACCAATTAAATTCAGGTCACATTAGAAGTAAAAAATTAAACTTATTAGCCAAGCATGCCGGACATTTCTAAGTCACAGTCATCCTTTATTATGCCAAATCCAGTGTCATCATACAAGAACAAATATTACATGTAGCAATCTTAAGTGAAGACTTCCACTGTGATGGCAGCAAGAGAACCTTAATTTAGTGAATCATGATATGCTGTGATTGCAACTTTTTAAGGGGATTAAGGATGCCATAACTGAAGACTCTAATCCCCAAGAAAACCCAGTGCCCTCCTCACTCCTTCATCTGTCAGCCCCCATTTGTTTCTTTCAGAGCACAGCTTAAATTTCAATATTTATCAGGTACCTGGTCAACTCTGCTCCCCACTGGAATAAACTTGGTAAGAGCAAGTACACTCACATCTACCTTTGTATCCCAGCATCTAATGAGCATTAAATAAGTATTTGCTAGATGAACAAAAGTCTGAAAAGGTAAGGGTTGGAAAAGAGTTACAAACGGGGCACCTGCGTGGCTCAGTCGGTTAAGTGTCAGCCTTCGGCCCAGGTCATGATCCCAGGGTCCTGGCATCAAGCCCCGCATCAGGCTCCCTGCTCAGTGAGGAGCCTGCTTCTCCATATGCTACTTATCCTGCTTGTGCTCTCTCTCTCTCAGATAAACAAACAAACCAAGAAAAAGAAAAGAAAAAGAGTCACAATCAAGAAATAGTTCCAAAAAGTCTGAGGAATATATTGCACCTTAGGAAACAACACAGTACAAGAACAGTACTCAATGAAGAAAGGAAAAAGTTCGGGTGAAGTAGAGATTATAAACCCCAAGAAGAGACAGAGAACAAGATGGAAAAGTTACTGATCTACAGATGCACAGGCAAGACTAACTGGAAGAGAGGGGGTAAATATCTCAGTCTCACCTCAAAAACATGCAGCACCTCAAACTTGTCTTTCACTAGCGCTTGCAGGCACTCACTCCTTTCCACCTACATATTAGTAAGCTCCTCCCATGCTGGTTTAATGTTTGTCACCTCTCTCCTCCACGACTGTCAGGCATAATGCTGCCTTGAAAGAAGCAAGGTAAAAAATAGATAAATAAATAAAATAGTAAAAATTAAAATTAAAAAAAAGAAAGAAGGTGTCCAAGAACCTAGATGACATCTACACATTGTTGCTGTAAGATAGGATAGCAGTTAACATCTGAAGAGCACTTTATCTTTTTAAGGCAGTTTCATGTACTTTTTCTCTACGCAAGTATTATAGAAGTATTCTCTTTCCCATTCTTTAAATACAGATTCATAAAAGTATTCAAAGCCTTGGATTTAAATCCCAGCTCTGCTAACATACTTGCTCTCTGATCTTGGTCAAATTATTTACTCTCTCTGAGTTCAGTATCCACTGGGAAAATAATATCCACCTTAAAGGACTGCTATGAGTATTCAGTGAGATAATACATATAAAGAACATGCCCAATAAAGGGCAGTAACCTTCCCTATCGCCTCCTTAAATAATTTGTACAGGATTTCTCAGCTAAGGAAGCTCATAAGCCCAGGACTTAAACCCAGGTCTCCTGATTCCTTAATCTGTCTTCTTCTTACCACATCATTTTGGCAGACTGCCACATACTACTGGGCACATAAATACATTCTGACAATAACTGATCACAAAATTTTTATCTATCAGTAACTAATTTTAGCTTTGCAAAAAGGGAAAAAAATAGATCTAATTAACTAGGGGGGAAAAGGGGTTTGAAATTATAAAATATAAATTACCCCCAAACCACGGGACAGGTTGTACCATATACTTCTGTACAAAAAGAAATTATGACAAGAAACAGAAAGTTCTCTCTGGGTTTATGAGAAACAATTGGAGAAAGAACCAAGAATGACTATGATTAAAGGAACTTAAGGGTTTTGTGTTTTTGTTTTGTTTTGCTTTGTTTTGTTTTTTGGTAAAACAAACCACTGGGCAAAAAGATCTGCATCCCATCCTAAAATAACTCTATCAAGGCCGAGACACATCTTTAAAAAAAGAGACCTGGGGCGCCTGGATGACTAAGTCGGTTTGAGCTTCCGACTCTTGGTTTTGGCTCAGGTCATGGTCTCAGGGTTGTGAGTTCAAGCCCCATGTGGTGGGGCTCCAGGCTCAGCGGGGAGTCGGCTTGAGATTCTCTTCCTCTCCCTCTGTCCCCCACCCAATGAGCGTGCACTCTCCTTCTCTTTCAAATACATACATAAATCTTTAAAAATAAATTTTAAAAAATTAAAAAATGGACACCTGGGTGGCTCAGTCGGTTAAGCATCTGCCTTCAGCTTAGGTCATGATCCCAGAGTCCTGGGATCAGGTCCCGCATTAGGCTCCTTGCTCAACGGAGAGCCTGCTTCTCTCTCTGCCTACTCTCTTCTCCCTCTCCCCCTGCTTGTGCTCTCTATGACAAATAAATAAATAAAATCTTTAAAAAAATTTTTTAAAAAATTAAAAAGAGACCTCAGTGTGCTAACAACAAAACTCTTTTTTTCCAATTCCTTTCAGGGCAGGATAAATGGGAATAGTGAGATAAACTGTCAACAAAAACTGTCAACGTTCATGAAGACCCTTGATGATCATAAATGTTTGGATTCAGTATTAATAAGGAGCAGAAAGGAGCATGATCAAAAAAAAAAGTTTTGGGGCACCTGGCTAGCTCAGCCAGTAGAACATGCAATTCTTGATCTCGGGATCATGAGTTCAAGCCCCTCACTGGATGTGGAGCTTACTTTAAAAAATAAATAAATAAAAGCATACAAGTTTCATAAGATTCCTAACGTGTTGAAAATATTTTGAAAATTATACAGTATAAAAAGAAGTTATTACAGTTAGTAAAAATAACCAATTGCTTTCAAATGACATTTCTAACTAATCTTTTCCAAGTGACAAACAAAACTCCTTCCAGGATAAGTTCTAGAAGATATTCAAAGAAGTTCATATCTTAATAATCCCCAAGAACTTTCTCACTAAAAGAGAAGAGAGAACAATTAAGTCACATTCTGAACCCATAAGTTTCTGAAAGAAAATGCCAGAAGAGAGCCTGATCTGACACTGACAGAACAAACAAGATTTAACCAAGAAAGGTAAATAGTGGAGTAAATTTGTCACAAAGCAGGGCAGAAGCTGATAAGAAGCTCTATCCCTATAACCCAACCACCAGCACCAAAACCAAATTTCTTGTCTTCTTCAATCCAACTTAAACCTCTGCTAATTATCTCCTACAGAAACATAACAAAATGTTCCTAACTTTTTTTGTGACACTCATAGCAAACTCCAACTATTATTTAGCATTAATTAGGAGCCGCTGATATACTATACTAACTATAAATTCTATGCAGAATAAATCTCCAGGAGATAATGTCACATCCTTCTCTAAATTCTTTCCTCTGTTATAAATTTCTCTTCAGAGAGCACACATTCTTAGCCTAACTTCCCAATGTAGATTCTCCACAGTCTGGTGGCTCTTCACTAAACCCTTTCTGGAAGTACTGAGGTCCTGATAACTAGGAAATCACTCATGATCAAGGGCCCTACATTTAAATATGGCTGACCTCAAAAAAAAATTTGAGGAACAATAATCTTTCCAAAACTCATGAGAATTCTAAAAAAAAAAAAATCATAGACTTGTATAGTTTCCATCTAAGAACTAGAAATTTAGTCTGTTTTCTCTTAAAACCACTGTCCTACTGATTCTACAGACTATGGAAATACTTATTCAACCTAGAATGACCTCTAGCCTGAATATTTTTTTTCAACAAACAATCTACGCAAATTAGGATCCTGACACTGAATCCAATGAAAATAAAATTAATAAGAACACTTAGTCCCCAAAGTTTCCAAGTTGAGAGAGAAAAGGAAAACACAATGGAGTTGCCGGAATTTTAACTTTTTCTATTTAAATATCTCAATATCTGAATGATTCTTACACACAACCTGTTTAGTATATGCATAACTAAACCACTAATCAAATATAATAAAACTGTTCGGAAGATGACTCCTTGGGTTTCCTCTGGATTCTTCCTAGAAAGCACTCTCAAGACAAATACTGATTTCAAAATCTTGACCATCTTCGTTGGACATTAACCCATTTATTTAACACGATAGTTAGAAGATTTCCACTGAGAACAAGCTGAGGGGAAGGAGAAGAAATAAGTATCAACCAGAAAGCAAACTGGACAGCAAACGAAATTTTCTATCAAGAAACAGAACTGTTATTGCTATTCTCACGAAAATGATACAGACTTTGACAAGCAAAACCAGCATGGTCTCTTTACTTATGAAGTACCAGTGACAGAATCTGATTTCCTAGGTAGAAGAGATCACAAACGACAAGTCACTGTGTGCATAAAGTGACAGTAAATAGAAAAAAAAAGTGAACTTGTAAATGACAAAAAAAAAAAACACGACTTAAGGTGCATTTAAAGATCTTTTGGGGACATGGGGAAAAGTCAAGTACCAGAACTCAGTCTCAGTTTCCCTACCCCAAAAAAGCAAGAACATGACACTTCGCTCAGAGTAGCAAGGGGCCCATGTTCCACTTGCCTCCACCTACTCGAAGGTCCCTTCAAAGGCCGGACTCAGAGAGGGTGCCCAGCGCAATTGAGTCATGACACCCGGAGCCTTGGGGGTGGGGAGGTGGGAAGAGAACCGGGGGGTCAAAGCGCGCAAAGCTCTATCCGTTCCTGGAAAGCGATTTTCCCCCCACACTAGGGGTGCCAACACCCGCCCTAGACCCAACATCCCCTTCCTACCAAACCGCGCAGAGCAGCCCCAGCATCTCTCCCCCCTTCCGGCCTCTCCCTCAGTTCTCCGCCGCCTCTCCGACCGCGCCCCCGAACACAGCCGGGTAGCTCCACCTCCGGCCGTGTCTCTGCGGCCGACCCGCCCGCCCACCCGCCGGCGCCAAGGTCTTCTCAACCCGCCGGCGGAAGGATGCCGGGCCGGGCCTCCCAGGCTCCTCCCGGGCCTACCTGCAAAGCGGGCGGGAGCTCCGTCTGCAGCCCAGCGGGGGGACTCAGCCACCGACTGGAAGAAGAGGCAGGAAGGAAGCAAGGGGTCCGCTCTACCGACCAGCGGGAGAAAGCAGCCTGAGCGAGGGGCCTCGCGGATAAGTCAGCCTTCGACCCGGCGCCGCCGCCGCTCAGGAGACATCAAGCAAGAAGACGGCGCAAAAGATCACCGAATACACGAACGCCTCAGACATCGTAGGAAGAGCGCCCAAGCTATCGTCCGAGGAAGTGTAGTCGAGCGCCGAAAAACAGCTCAGCTCCAACTCTAGGTCCCACTCCTGTCCAAGGCATGAATAAACAAACCCAGATCATAAGCCGTGGAGTAAAGTAGCCGGTGCTTCTGCCATTTTCTGTGTTGGTTGCCGGCTAAGTTGTTTAGAGCACTGGAGTTTTTCTTGGGTGTTGAAGATCAAGTCATAGCACAGTAACACTTGGCAGTTCAGCGACTACGTTACGCACTCCCAACACTTTTTATCCCAGCTGAGCAAGTGTGACTCTTAGTTTCTTCACGGACAGTGAGGTAAATAAATATACATATGTATGACAGGCACAGAGAGACAATAAGAGAGAATCCAGGGCGCCTGGGTGGCTCAGTCGTTAAGCGTCTGCCTTCGGCTCAGGTCATGATCCCAGGGTCCTGGGATCGAGCCCCACATCAGGCTCCATGCTCCACAGGAAACCTGCTTCTCCTTCTTTTACTCCCACTGCTTGTGTTCCCTCTCTCACTATGTCTCTCTTTGTCAAATAAATAAATAAAATCTTTAAAAAAAAGAGAGAGAGAGAGAGAATCCAGACTGAGAAACAAAGTGAGTAATCGCTGTTAAAGCTCCCCTTTAGCAAAGCATAGCAAAGAGAAGCTGGGAAAATTCAGGGTTTTGTAGGCTGACCTGAAGGCAGGAAAAAAAAATACACACATGCTTTTTATAATTTTATTCCAAAGGCCTGGGACCACAGGTGTGCTTCTTACATAATGATCAAAATTCTCTTTGGGGGCGCCTGGGTGGCTCAGTTGGTTAAGGGACTGCCTTTGGCTCAGGTCATGATCCTGGAGTCCCAGGATGGAGAGCCACATAGGGCTCCCTGCTCAGCGGGGGGTCTGCTTCTCCCTCTGACCCTCTTCCCTCTCATGCTGTCTCTCATTCTCTCTCTCTCAAATAAATAAATAAAATCTTTTTTAAAAATTCGCTTTGGGTCAGAACCTGACAAAGTTGACATTTTCATCCTCATAGCAATAGCCCCTTTCTGAAGTCTCTTAGTAGACAAGCTAATATGCTCAGCACAAATGTGGATTAATCCGTACATCCTAGGTCAATTCAATAAATCACATAGGTCACTCCAAATATGGATTACCAAGCGTGGGCAATAAATAATACAGTCTACCCTATCCCCTCCTAATGAGGGAGGGAGGAGACTTGGACAGTAAAGGTATAAAAAAGAAGTAAGATAGTCCCAGCCCTTAAAGACCAGGTAATCTAATCAAAGTGAAAGACCACATCCTCAGGGCAGCTGGGTGGCTCAGTCGGTTAAGCGCCTGCCTTTGGCTCAGGTCATGATCTCAGGGCCCTAGGATTGAGCCCCCCCATGGGGCTCCCTGCTCAGCAGGGAGCCTGTTTCTCCCTCCCCCTCTGCTGCTCTCTCACTTGTGCTCTCTCACTCTCTCTGTCAAATAAATAAATAAAATCTTAAAAAAATAAAAAGGCCACATCCTTACATTAGCTTTATCTACAATTTATTATAATTTTTTAAAAAATCCTCCTTTAAGTCTGTAACAATATTTAAGGGACAACTCATATATATAATACAGGATAAAACCAGCATCCATAATATGAGGACAAAACACTGCACTTTCGTCATCTACTGTTTTAGGGGACTTAAAAATGAGTAAACATTATAACAACATTTACGAAAGTCTAAAAAAAGAAAGATTTTAATCATCTGCTTCCAAAACACAAAGTTTTAATTTGTTCATGCCCCCATGCAGTCCTTGGAAATATCCTACATAATGTTTTAAAGTTTAAGCAGAGATACAACAGTGTTGTTTTGCATTAGATCATTTCCCTATTAAATCTTTAATAGTTGTTATTTTTAACAGCTGCACAATATTGCATTGAGAGGATATACTGACCTTGCTTCCCATTGTTGGATATGCATGTTGCTCCCAAACATTTTCTGTGTAATAGGTATTGCTGCTTTTGGAAAGAGGCAGTTGTGACCTTTTTATTAATGATTAGGACCTATTGCACATAAACAAAGGGTAAGGAAGCAAGGTAGAGATTTATTTCTCTGTCATATAAAAGAAATCCAGAGATGCACAGCCTAGGGTAAGGTGTGGCCATTTGGTGTCAGGGACCAGGCTTTCATCCTGTTGCTCTGATATCTTCAATAAGTGGCTTTCATCTCAGGTCCAAGACAGCTGTTCGAGGTAGCTAGAGCTACATTCCAACCAGCAGGAAGCTGAAAAGAGAAAGGCATGTCTTCCGCCATAAGGACATATCTTGAAAATAGCACAGGACATTCCCACTTATATTTCACTAGCCAGAATTTAGTCACATACCCACACCTAACTGGGAATTAGTCTTTATCCTGGGGAGTTCGAAAAGTCAAGGGCCAAAGAATACTAAGTGCTAACTAAATAAACAGTCCCTGCCACATTCCTGAAGCCAGATGAGGAGGAGCAAATAGACTTCCCTTTACTGTCATCCAGGGCTGAATTTCTATTCCCAGAATACACGTTTTAGGGAAGCTTCCCTCTTAGAAAGGCTTGTGGGGCATAAGCATCTAAAGTCACAGCCCTCATTCAAACTTGACCCAAATAACATTATTTTGAAAGCTTGATTTCAGTGAGAAAAACTAAAGAAACTAATTTCAAGGCTACAAGAAATTTTCAGTCTTTCAAAAATTGGAGACTTTTATTTTGGGAAAAACACCTGAAGTTTATGCAAATATAAATCTAAAATCAGGGGCGCCTGGGTGGCTCAGTCGGGTAAGCGTCTGCCTTCAGCTCAGGTCATGATCCCAGGGCCCTGGGATCGAGCCCACATCGGGCTCCCTGCTCAGCGGGGAGCCTGCTTCTCCCTCTCCCTCTGCCGATCCCCAATTGTGCTCACACTCTGTCAAAAAATGGATAAAATCTTAAAAAAAAAAAATCTAAGATCATCACCTGAAATGGAGATATTTGAGAAGCTGAGGCTAAACTGGTCTGTGAAACCACGGAAAAGATGGCTTATTCTGCAGGCAGAGTTGCATCTCTATAGATAGATTTCTCTAAAGAACTGTTTCTTTACAAGTGTGGATTTAAGCTTCAGTATGACAGTAAACTACTGCTTGCTCTTATGGGAGTCAATTTGGACAGAAGAGTAGATCACAAGAGATCAGGAATTGAAATCCTCAAACCTACAGGAATCTCCACACTGGAGGAAGACTTAAAAAAAGAAACCAGGTGGGCAGAGTAAAGATCATACTGGGATATATCACTGATGCTTACATATTGGTGTTATGATTCAATAATTCATTCTTTTTTTAAGACTTTTAATTATTTATTTGAGAGAGAGAGACAGGGAGTGAGAGCATGAGCAAGGGAGAGGGAGAAGCTAAGAAACTAAGAATATGTGTGAGGTCTCTATTTTGTATAATTTGAAATCGGTAAACCAGTGATGACCCAATATTGTGGTTTTCTCTTAATATATCCTGGGACTTTGCTGTCTTGAAACAGCTAAACGAGCCCGACATGGGGCTCAATCCCAGGACCCCGGGATCATGACCTGAGCCCAAGGCAGATGCTTAACCAACTGAGCCAGCCAGGCGCCCCTCAATAATTCATTCTTATATTGATTACTGATTATTTTATTCTGATTGGATTCTCCTGGAGGAGTCACCCCCTTGAAGGTAGGATGATGCTTCCCCTGAAGTAGGGTGACCATCTGTTCCAGTTTGCTGAGGACTAGGGGTTTCCCAAGACAAAGAACTTTTTTTCTTTCTTTTTTTTTTTTTTAAAGATTTTATTTATTTGACAGAGAGAGAGACAGTGAGAGAGGGAACACAAGCAGGGGGAGGGGGAGAGGGAGAAGCGGGCCTCCCGCGGAGCAGGGAGCCCGATGCGGGGCTCGATCCCAGGATCCTGGGATCATGACCTGAGCCGAAGGCAGTCGCTTAACCGACTCAGCCACCCAGGTGCCCCGACAAAGAACTTTCAATGCTAACACTGCAATAGCTCTGGGCAAACCAGGACAGTTGGTACCCCTAAGAATGGACCTAGCCCCTGCCAATCACATGGAAGGAACTTGTAAAGACTAAGCCAGGAAAAGAGGCTTGGCACATGTAAACATGGGGGAATTCCCTGGGATGAAGGGTGAAGGGAGGGAAAACAAGGGGCGCCTGGGTAGCTCAGTCGTTAAGCATCTGCCTTTGGCTCAGGTCATGATCCCAGGGTCCTGGGCTCTAAGCAACATCTACTACACTCTGCATGGTAGAAATTGGGTCTGAACCTAGGATTGAAAGAACTCTGTAGCAGTACCGTGAGTCATCTTATTAGGAATTCCAGGAAGAGGAATTGGGCCTTGAGCAGCCAAAATGATAAGCCAATTGTAGGTTTTGCTGTTGCAATTCTGTTCTGTTCTTTTGTAGCCTGGTCTCATGGCACTGTGGGTTAAGGTGCACACTTTGGGCTGGATGGTAAAGTAGAAGCAGGGTAATGACACAGAAGCAGCACAGGGAAAGGGAGAGATCCCAGAACAGCAGGTAATCATTCACAGAATTAAAGGAAGTGCTCCCTTCTTTGGAATTATTTATACAGGATAAATATTCAGTGGTGCAATTTATCAATGGATTGAAATGTATGAGCATTTTTTTTGGTAAGATTTTATTTTTTGACAGAGAGACAGCAAGAGAGGGAACACAGCAGGGGGAGTGGGAGAGGGAGAAGCAGGCTTCCTGTCGAACAGGGAGCCCGACGTGGGGCTCGATCCCAGGACCCTGGGATCATGACCCGAGCCGAAGGCAGATGCTTAACAACTGAGCCACCCAGGCACCCCGAAATGTGTGAACATGTCAAGACTCTAGAACGACAAAGAAATCAGCCCTTTCATAAAGAGAGCTCTATATATAAGGATTAAAGTCTCAAGAGAATGATAGATCCTTTATGTTTTGTTGGGCAAACATGGAGTCCTTTCAAATGGACTTTTTTGTTTGTTTAATGTACTAACTTATGATTTCAAGGTCTAATTTCCTTGCTCCTTTTTAGTATCCAGAGCTCTCATTATTCCTATTTGACTATCACAAAGGGGGTTTAGAGTGCAGTCGTTAAAAAAAAAGAAAAAAAGCCTGTGAATTTGATGTGTTAGGAAACTGAAGTTGAAGTGTTCCCAGCATTCAGCTAGTACTTTCCCTTCTTTCCTGCATTGCCATTCTTAGAGTCAACAAACTCTTAATTCTGTTATCTCTTATTCTTACCACTTCGTAAAATCTGGGCTGGACCTAGAGAGTAATACAGGTCCTGAGGACATGTGCATGCACAATGATTAAGTTTCCTTAATTTATTTTCTTGTCCTCCTCCT